CTGCTGCACCGAGCTGAAACACTGCCCCAAAGCATGAGGGTGCAAACTCCCAAGTCACCTGCCTTGATTCTTGATTGGTTTGAGGCCAGCTTTGCTAAAAAGGACCTGATTCAACAAGGTGATGGACGCTTTTCAGGGCGACCTCTCGCTTTTTGAACGCCAACCTTTCATTGCTGAACATAGCCAGGCTTTACATGGCTATCCCTCTTGAGGCTGGCACCCACTTTAGTCACTGGAATGTGGTTGGCAAGGCAGGATATGCCCCTTCACAATAACCAAACTGAACTTCATTGAGGGCAAGTTCTCACATTCGGCATCCAAGCCTTAGTGAGATGTTGGTCTTGCCTACAGTCAAAGCCCCAGGCCCCCATGTGGCTGCAAAATCCCCTGCAAGCCCTGATTCAGCCAATGTATATAAGTAACTTGTTCAGATTCATCAACTCTTCCACTTTCTGTTCAGCCAGGGCACGGAACGCCCATGCCCTCTACCATCTTCACCTAGCTGCTGCGTCGATTGTCAGGACTGTCAAGAAAGCGATGAGTTTGTTATTTCGGCCGAACAATCGGACGGATGGTGTGGTGAAACCATGGTCTAGACGATGAAACACAACGAGCATTGGCTCCAATCCAAGACCGTCGCCGGACGGGCGAGACCAAAAGGCACACCGAACACCGGACTGGCAGAACTGGTCGGATCTTCGGAACTCATCTGAGCCGCAAAGAGAGAGAGAGAGGAGACACCAAGCCCCAGTATCATGCCATCTTCATGGTATCTCTGGCAGTCTGCGAGTAGATGGTTGATCCCGATGGCTAAAGTATGCTAAAGTACACTCCCTCTATCCAGATAATACACGCTTCTTGCCAGGCACCCAACTGACGTCGAGTCCAGGCCAGTCCAAAAGCGTCTCCATCTGAGGCCCCCACAGTGCCGGAGAAGTTCTGGCGAAACACAAGGAGTGGTGAGACCAGACTCTTTAAACAAAGCATGCAGAGTTGCCTCATGCGCTCCCAAGACTGAAGCTCGAAACTAGTAGACCTCAGGAATCTGTCCATGTTTCTGAAGTTGCCGCCACGTTGCGCTCCCTTCTCCCCAACTCGTTCATGTGTAGAATGTGGAAGCCAGTGAGATGTAGTATTGCTTTGCGTGACTCAGTCTGTAGATAAGACATTGAATATTGACATCCCAGAGGGTCAACTGGATTTCTGCATGGAGGGAAACGAAACACCACTTGGCCCCGACTTAGCAACGCCAAGCCGGCGATGACTTCAGGGGAAATGGGCGGTGACCACTCCCACAACCTGGGCGACTCGAAGCAGGTGCTTGACCAGGTCTGCTCCCAATCCTAAGCACCAATTCACCGCTTCTCACGGGTCAAACGCACGTGTTTAGATCGGACCCAAGCTCCCCTGAAGAGCACTCTGTTCTGACAGGGAATCGTGAGGGGCTATCTTGTTCAGCTTACACCTTGAGCTCTCATCAAGCCAAACTCATTCAAAGCCCCACTGGCGCCACAGAAACACCAAAACTCCAAACTCACCCTGACGAGTTTACAGTAGCGGCTGACTGTAGCAACAACAAGAGCAACAAGTCCTGGCGCCTCATAACCGTGCCCCCCCCAGCGAACGACAGGGTCCAGTCCGGTCCTTCACTTTGTTGACAGCTGACATCAAGAAGATGAACACGAAAAGAAAGGTGCCAAGGTAAGTCAGGTACGGAGCCTTGAGACCCGCTTTCAGCCGGCCCAAAACGGCTGGGTGGAACATGGGGAGATGGAGTATGAATCGTGTCCTGGAAGTCACCATCCCTCAACCTTCAAAGTTTTGGGTGTCCTCCATCATCAAGCCTCGGCAGTTGCCTCTACTTGGTTCACAAGTTCAACATGACATGGTAGGTGACAAAGACATCATCGGTGATGTCCGGCACAAATATATGTCTTCCAGATGTATTGGAATACGGAGAACTGCCCAAAGGGGTAATTATACAAGAGTTTATTTGTATCTAATTGTCCTCTTCTAGGAGGTCTTTGGGGGCCGTGTTTCAATGCCGTTTCTCAGCTCTGATGGTCCCTGAGCTGAAGTATTGTTGAAGGTAACAGCAAATGAGGATCCTCATGTATATAGAACATATACTTCTGCAGCAATTGCAAACCAATCCAAGCTTTTTTGCACAAGGCGTTGGACCTTGGCTTTTCTGAGTCTCAGGAAGAGTCCAGCTCCTTGAAAACCAACTCCAAAATACCAACAACAGTGGCCCGCTGCTTTGGATACCGAAACCGAACCCCGCCGTAACTGACTCCGCTTCGTCCAAGTGCCGCCGGCAGGAGTGCCACGTAGTAGGCATCCTAGGGCCCACGAAGACCCGATTCGAAGGAACGGCTGAGCCGGCTGGTGGATCAAGCGAACTTCGGCCCGTTCCAGCCAGGATCACCAGAAAACTACAGTGCAAGCACTATAGTTGTACAAGTGCAATTGACAGAAACACAACCTCAGAATTGCGCAGAACAGCAGGATGGCAAGACGCGCGAACAGCAAGTTGCTCAAAATGTCTCAGTGACCTATGATACACTTGAACGAATCCCATCGGCCCCATGGGCAAACGGAGCAAGCAGCATGACACTTGCCGCAAGATCAGCACGCTCCCCATTGAGTTGCTATTGACGTGAAGGCGCATACACCTGGCACCCATACACCTGGCACCTGGATGTGTGTCTATTCACTTATGCTTATATAGTACTTTTCCAATAGCTTAATTACTTTACAAATGCGTTTCTTGGTTTTCTAGGGTACCCTGTTCTCCCAAATGTCTACCTTTTTGTATGTGGCTCGCACGGACATGCAGCACTACATGCACATGCAAGACTGCAGCATGAACTCAGCATGAACTTCCCTGCAAAGACTGAAGGAGCTAGTCGTGGTAGCTTACCAAAGATCCAACAACCTGAGAAAAATTAATGGCATGAAGGAAGGTACCGTATATGCCCTCCAGTGGCACGTGTAGCTCCCGTGTAAGTAGAGTTAGATCTAAGATCATCTAGAATCTAAGTATTATATATATACAGTATATACTATATACAGGAATTAGTTCCACTTCACTTCATTCCTTCTCTACTTGCTTCTTTACTGTCTGAAGCCAAGACTCCAACCAATGGAGCAGCAGGTCCTTCAAGCTCCCCCCACCTTTTGGTGCATCCTCTTTTAGCAAGGGCACTCCTGCAACATGCGGGCACAGTTCCCCAAAGGCGTGAACCGCCCCAAATTCACTGCCACGCCATCTGTCTTGCTGCCTCCATTATGAAAACACCACACAGTCTCGAAAAATGGAGGTGTCACAGTCTCGCAATTGCTCTCACATGTTTGTTTTCCTACACTTGTTCTCACACTCTTGAGAATCCCATCTTTCCACTCTAAATCTTTCCGGAACTGTCAGAGCCGACACAAGGGTTTCTCATTCGCCTTGAAGCCCTGTGGAGAAGGCCAGGAGCTGTGCCGTGGACGCCAAAAGCAGCGCCACAGCAAAGACCTGCATAGGAGGCTGGCCAGGGCATGTTGGCCAGACCAAGTGACCCTTTGACCCCAGGGTTGATCGATGCTGATGGACGCCAGGAACCCTGACTGCATCCGGCCACTGAGAAGCATTTGCCCAAAAGGCTTTGGTGATCTGTTGTGTAGGTTCCACTGTTGTTCTGTTGCTTTCACAGGCTGTCACGGCACTTGCCTGTTCATGTGCCAAAAAAAGCTGTCAAGGGTCAAAGGGGTTACAAAGGGCCTCACAAGCATTAAAAACACACACACTTAAACCCGTCACACATCATACCATGAAACAGCATAATGCTCGGCAAGACTGATCAGTTTGTACGCAGGGCAACCGGGATATTCAATATTTTTCAATATTCTGCACCGTCTTCCTCCCACATGCAAAGGGTGCTCCTACTTGATGTTTCCGAAACCTCTCAGCCCATGAAGAGCATGTGAACGTGTTCCCTACGAGTTCTTCATAGGAACAGTAATGCGAGCACCATTGCAGGCTGAAAGCCAGCCCTGTCTGTCCTCCCAGCATCGGCGTTTTCTTGCAGCACGAAATACATTGGGCTGACAACACGCCCTGCTGAAGAGGATGTTCAAACTTATAAACTTCACAGATGTGGATCAAACATGATCAAACTCGGCAGGTGTTGCTTGGTCGACCAAGTTCGTGGGCTCATCTAGTCGAGACTGAAGCCCATTCCACCTATGGACAAGTTGGAATGTGGCTGTGGGTCATGGCACCGGAGCGCCCTGGTTGACCACCTGGAATGAACAGAATGGATGACCTGGGAGGTCGACCTACCCCTGGTTTGGGGCTCCGGTTTTTGACCCACAGCCATGTAGATCATGTAGTCCGTGAAGTGCAGATTTCTGCGCGCAGTCCAGACAGGGTGCCCCTCTACCCAATGATCTCTGCCAACACCAGGGTTCTGCTGAGAAAGGGTTTGATCTGGATCTGCCGCACGAGCTGTACTGTAAAAAAAAACTACTACCAGTATTTAGAACGTCTTCAAATTGAAACACTGTATAACTATAGCTCAACATGTCCAGTTTGTCAAGCACCACCGACTCCGACAAAGCCGGTTCTCCACAAAGTCGGCCGCTTTCAAAGCCTCGGCCACCTTCGCTGGTCGCTGTGGCCACCCACTTCCCCCGGAGCCCGCCGGCTCTGGCAGCAACGGCCGCCCCATGAGATCGGACATCGGGGCGCGAACTTTGCACACCCGGGCGCAGTGGACACGGGCAGGGCAGGCGGTTGGAGTCTCTGAGACGGCGCCAAAACGGCTGGGGCGCCGGCGGATTCGTGGGAAAGCTTTGGGTCCATTCCTTGAGGCTGAAGGTCCAGGACCAGCAAAGGGCTTGCAAAATTCTAACGAGCTCCTACAGTGGACCGGTATGGTCAGTTCTGAGTTCTGACCAACCTCCGTCAACAACCGCTTGCACTGGTCGTCCACGGTCGCACCCACGTGACTCGCCTGGATGGTCTGGCTCTCGCAAAGGTACGCCACCAGCTTATCAGCCAGGCGGTTCACCTCGTCGACCACCTGCGAACCGATGGCGACCGGGCGACCCGGGTCGATGAACCGGGACGTGCACGACCCGTGCACGACCGGGACGGCCCATCGACGTGGTCCGCGGATCCATGACGGCGACCATGGTTTGATGTTTCAGTGCCGAAGCGACGCGACCCTTAGTGGCCCATATTGAGGCGACTTTCACTATCACTGAGTAGTTATCATTTGGATCCCTACCCCCCGTTTGCTCCAATGTGTTTACCACTGTATATTTACAAATTCTGAACATGCATACACATAAGCTCATCTATTGGTTGGTGGGCAATCTACACGCAGTTCCCGGGCAAGCCGGCGGCGGAAGTTTCCTATAAGAACAAATTGACCTATAGGAGTGTCCACGTTCTCTCCAACATGCGCGTCCTCCAGTCAAACGCACGCGCTCCGGACTTTTGACCCACGGGACTCCACGTGTGTAAGGTGTGTGCCCCCTGCAGGATCAGCAGCTCACAACAGCGTACTGGGTTGTATCTTTGCCACGACAAGATCAGCAGCCCACAACGGCGTGTTGAACCAACCGACCTGCTAACAAAACAATCAACTGCAACCAGTGTTGGGTTATGATGAGTGGTGTATGATGAGTGATGTATGATGAGTCTTGTATGATGAGGGGTGTATGATGAGTGGTGAATGATGAGTGGTGTATGTTGAGTGGTGTATGTTGAGTGGTGTATGACGAGTGGTGTATGATGAGTGGTGTATGCTGAGCGGTGTATGATGAGTGGTGTATTGACCAGCAGTTGAATGTCCTGTCCTGCATAAATGCAACCAAATACTATCAGTATGAACTGTGCCAAACCTGCACGCCGCGAGAGATGACTCAGTCGCGAGAGATGGCTATAGCGAGAGCTGACTTAGCAGCGAGAGATGACTCCTCCGCGTACTACACTTGTACTACAAAGTGGCCAGTTCTCAGCTTCCAGCTCCACAGGTTGTTCCGCGTGCTAAAGTTGTACTGGAAAGTCGCCAGTCAGTTCTCATCTTCCAGCTCCCCAGATGCTCCGCGTACTGCAGTTGTACTACACAGTCGCCAGTTCTCAGCTTCTAGCTGAACAGATTGCTCCGCGTACTAAAGTTGCACTACAAAGTCGCCAGTTCTCAGCTTCCAGCTCTACAGATTGCTCCGCGTACTAAAGTTGTACTACAAAGTCGCCAGTTCTCAGCTCCCAGCTCTACAGATTGCTCCGCGTACCAAAGTTGTACTAGAAAGTCGCCAGTTCTCAGCTTCCAGCTCTACAGATTGCTCCGCGTACTAAAGTTGTACTACACAGTCGCCAGTTCTCAGCTTCCAGCTCTACAGATCGCTCCGCGTACTAAAGTTGTACTAGAAAGTCGCCAGTTCTCAGCTTCCAGCTCTACAGATTGCTCCGCGTACTAAAGTTGTACTAGAAAGTCGCCAGTTCTCAGCTTCCAGCTCCACAGATACTCCGCGTACTAAAGTTGTACTACAAAGTCACCAGTTCTCATCGTCCAGCTCGCCAGATACTCCGCGTACTAAAGTTGTACTAGAAAGTCGCCAGTTCTCAGCTTCCAGCTCTACAGATTGCTCCGCGTACTAAAGTTGTACTAGCAAGTCGCTAGTTCAGTTCTCACCATCCAGCTCCACAGATACTCCACGTACTAAAGTTGTACTACAAAGTCGCCAGTTCTCAGCTTCCAGCTCTACAGATTGCTCCGCGTACTAAAGTTGTACTAGAAAGTCGCCAGTTCTCACCATCCAGCTCCACAGATACTCCGCGTAGTAAAGTTGTACTACAAAGTCGCCAGTTCTCCTCGTCCAGCTCGCCAGATGCTCCGTGTACTAAAGTTGTACTACGAAGTCGCCAGTTCTCAGCTTCTAGCTGCACAGATTGCTCCGCGTACTGCAGTTGTACTACAAAGTCGCCAGTTCTCATCGTCCAGCTTGCCAGATACTCCGCGTACTAAAGTTGTACTACAATGTCGCCAGTTCTCAGCTTCCAGCTCACAAATTGCTCCGCGTACTAAAGTTGTACTACAAAGTCGCCAGTTCTCAGCTTCCAGCTCCCCAGATGCTGTGCCTGCCACGAAATCTGCGCATGGAGGTTCACAAAGTGCTGTGACTGCCACGAAATCTCCACATGGAGGTTCAGAAAGTGCTGCGCCTGCCACGAAGTCTGCACATGGAGGTTCACAGTGCTGCACCTGCCACGAAATCTGCACATGGAGGTTCACAAAGTGC